ATGTAATATATGATCCACACATTGACTACTGGTGAATCCTGAACCACAGACTCAAGGCACTCCACATACAAAAGTTCAGAGTAAAACTTCATATTGCAGATTGTTTGTCAATTGGGTGGCATTGCGAGGCCCTAATTAATATTTCCAATAGACTATACATCCTCGAGAAACGACTCACTCAGAGAGAGAGAGAGAGAGAGAGAGAGAGTTCATACCCATGTTTCAGTCGAAGCCAAGAAGCAAACGCTTCAAGAACCTGAAAAACCAACCAGCTAAAACGATTAAAAAATGGCACTCTAGCAGCCATCAGAAAAAAAACTGGCAAATCTCAAACATCAGCATAGAGTAACTTATAAAATTATGAAATAATAATTACCTGCTCCTTAAGCTCATTAATATTCAAACAGGCAGTCAGGATGTCAAGAGCAACCTCAATTTGTGAAGTAAGCTCCTTTTCAAATTGGCGGCGTCTTTCCGGGCGAGCTGCAATTTTGTAGTTGAATACTTCCTGAATTTAAATCCCAGAAGGAAACGAACATGGTGAAAAGGTAGCCATCTGTCAATCAACTAAAGTTTTAAGAAAACATACATTGTTTCGGCTAATATATGAGACCACTACATGAATTCCCTCAAGGAAAAAGTAATGAAAAGACCGAAGAACATGATGCTGAACAACTTAGGAATCATTAGGAAGGGAAAGGTATGCTTTAGAAAGGACATGCATGATTTCTAAAGTGTACAAAACACATTCACCATATTACATGGAGAGTATTTAAATCAGCCTTGTCACACACAGTTGCACACTACAGTGCAAATATAAATTCAGCAAGCATCATATCTAATAGTTATTTACCTCAGGCAAAACTGTTAGTAACTCCAAAAATCCTGGTATGTACTCTGGATGCAAATTCATCTCATCACGAAGCCACTTCACAATCCCACCATCCCCCCAATCTTCAGCGCGAACATGTACAGCCAAAGCAGCCACAGCAATGCTAATCTACAAAGACAGATAATTGAGCTTAATATCCTCTTGGGATCCAAAAATCTGATGAAAGAGTGTCAAAGAGACTTCTGGGACACCACCTGAGTTCTGACTTTAGGGGGGCCCTTGTGGAATTTTCTCAATAAGTTCTGCATTCAAAATATGCAAGAACAAATACCGTTCAATATTGTACAGAAACAATCGAATCATTCTTCATATAAATAAAACAGGTCCATGACACTGTCAGAACACACTAAGGTGTAAAGCTTACTCAATTCTCACTCAAATTGTCAATGGATAGTGGATACTCACTCACATTTAATGAGTCACGTAACGGGCGAAAAGCTTCAGAAGGTAGTTCTTCAAAATCTCGTTGTACCTAGACAAGATACAAAATGAACTAAGAATCTACACACGCAACCAGTACAACATAAACAAGGCTTAAATATTTGAACATAAGATCTTTTAAGCTTCCATAGAAATAGGACGTAATAAATAAACTAACTGCATGATTACAGGCAGCCAGCTCTAAGGAGAAGAGAATTACCTTGCTTCTAAGGGTCTGAGAACAAAATATCAATGTTTCTAGATTGCTAGTTGCATCATGAAGCAAGTTATCAGCAACCTAAGAAAAAGAAGCAAATTAATGTTCAGAAAACTCAATAGTGACAAATTCAACATACAAGACCCATATACAAAAATGATAAATAGGAAGAATAAGTTCAACTTTTGTTTTGGCCTAAGGTAATTATTAAACTTAGAGAGCAAAATTCAGTACAATCTAACAGGTATAAGAATAGAATTAGAACACCAATAACTCATAAAAAAGTACTTTGGCAAGAAAATTTACATGGAAACCATACAGAAAAGACTAAAACTGCTGGTTGACTTTTACCCTCATATACAAAAAGTGAAAATCTTGAAAGAAATATTTATCATTGATTAAGAAAAAGGTTAAGGGTATAGATTTAAAGCTTACTAGCTGCTAGATAATTAAAAAACGCCAGATGCCCTATCTTGTAAGTGTGTGTGTGTGTGTGTGTTTTTAACTTTTACGCGAGTACTAAGCACAGGCATGGTTTAGGAATGTGATGTCCTACTGTCTTGGACACTTTTCAACACATTGCAGACACAGGGAAATCGTTTTTGTGTTAAATTTTATGATCTCAAATAGATTTTTTTTTCTTTTCAAAAAGTTCAAATTCATTTTGTAGTTTACACTACAATAACATAACTAGTTCACACTGCAAAAATACATGTATACTCATATCATCTTTGTTTATTAAGCTCAGTATTTGAGTATTTATCATTTGACGTTGTTGTCTGGATCATAGATGAGCTTCCTATTCCAGATAAGAGAGATGCCACAAGCAAAAATCAATCAATTTTCGCAAGGTAGAACGAAATTTTCTCACAAACCGACCAAGACCTACAAATTGCTTCCCTCTGGCATATTAAAAATGAAATACATAAGAAAATAAGTAATGCTTCTGACCCAAAGCATACCACTCAACTCAGATTATTGACCAAAAACCCTAAAACTGAATTCATCTAATTCAAATGGAATGAACTAGGGATTCCAAACCACTCAAAATCCAATTTCATCAAGATTGGCAAAAAACACCAAACCAATCACTGAAATTACAGCGGAATCGAACACCAAACTCTCACAAGCTACAGACAGCGATCAAAAACTTCATAAAACCGACAGGAGAATTCAAATCTACGAAAAGAGAAAAGTAGACGGAAAAGCACCTGCCAGGCGTCGAGCGTCCGCTGGAAGTCCTGCAGCCAGCGATCGGCCTGCAGGCGGACGCCGTCGTCGGGGTGGTGGTAGAGTGCATTGAGGGCTTCTTTCACTGTGTTCTGGAGCTCCATGGTTCGTCGTCGCAGCAGCTCTCCGAGCTCTCTCTTCGCACTTGTTCGATTTGTTCCTTTTTCTCTATCCTTTTTTTTTTTTTTTTTTTTTTGATAAAATAAAACGGGTTTTTGGCGCCCCCCAGGGACAAATCGAGGGTTTTTGGGGCTGTCTTGGCCGTCGGATCTGCCTGCCGATGTTTGACTCTCGGTCAATCCGAGTAATCGGGTGGAGGGGCCGTGTGTGTAAATATGTGTTTTCTTGGGTCAAGTGTGTAAATATATTAGTTTGTTTGAAATGAAAGGGATGTCTGGTCGAATGGGACACGTGGCATGTGTGTGATTCGGATGTGACTGGGGAGAAATTTTTTATTAGGATCGGAATATGAATGGTACATCACATGTTTTTATATAAGTGGTTAAAATTTTTTTTGTTAAGTTATTAAGTTTTTAGCACATATATTACATCATTTATATAGTGACACGTGGTGTATCATCCCGTGTTCCGATCACACTCACAAATCTCTTGTAACTAGAGAGAAATTTTTCATTTTAACCAGAACACGAGTGGTACACCATGTGTTTTTATATAAGTAGTGAGAAATTTTAGTTTTTAAATTATTAAATTTTTAACATAAGTATTTCACTATTTATATAATGACACCTAGTATACCATCTCGTGTACCGATCATATTGAAAAATCTCCAGCGATCGGATTTGGATCCCAATGTATGACTCAGGTCAGGGCTGCTATCTTACGGACTTTTTGGGCTTCGGCGGTTCGGCCCACCAATGACCAACCCGAATACGAATCCGAACCAGAACCGTCGTGGGTCAAACCAAGTAAAACGCTTTTTCCGTTGGAAAATCATGAAACCTGCATGTGTGACATTGCAATTTTGCCTCCAAGCCGCTCTAGTTCTGCTCCAGAGCAACACACAGTAGAGAGAGAAAGAAGCCAAGAGAGAGAGAGGGGGAGAGGGATGGCCTCGCCGTCAGGACCCGAAACTCCGTCGCCGAACATCTACATACCGCCGGAGTGGTCCGAGGCAGCAGACTGTATAGCATACGATTCAGTCACTTGGCCGCCACCCATTGCCTTAGTATGTGGCGCTAAAAACTGCGGAAAATCCACCTTTTCCCGCCACCTCCTCAACATTTTTCTCCGGAGGTCAGTCAGCTTCAAGCTCCCTTTCCCCACTTTGTAACCGTTGATCAAATTCACGGCTCTGATGATTAGTTTTTTGAGTAAAAGTTGATTTCTTTGTGTTTGTTTTCATGTTAGCTGAATTGGGTCACCTTATTTACCTGGATTCTCTCTGTTTTGGGAGTGAATGTGTATAAATTTTTCATCTTTTAACTCGGTTTGTTTTGAATTTAAATTTTTACTACTTTTTTGGGTATGTAGGTTTGTTTTTTACCATGTTTTTCTGTAATTTTGTTTCCAGGTATATAAAAAAGTTGGTTACTTGGATACAGATGTCGGTCAACCGGAGTTCAGTCCTCCTGGTTTTGTATCTCTCACTGTAATAGATGAAGCCACTCCAGGCAATTGTTTATTTTCTGCACTTACTGTGAATAATTTGCTTTAGAATTTGAAAGGATTGTTAATCATGTATTCATGTTAGAATACCGGTTTTTGTTTGGTTTGATTGCTAATTGAGTTTTCTTTTCTTTTTGGTTACAAATAGATTTGACAATCCCGCATCTGAAGACACGGAGAGGTATGAACAGTCCTCTGCCTCGTTATGGTTTTGAACTTGTTAGCAGTAGTAGTTATAGTGCTTACCGGAATACACTCATTATTATGTAGTAGATGACAAATATGTAGGGCATGAATATTGTAATTTGACATTCCTTCGGAGCAAGGTTACGTATATTTTTTTGCTAGTTTCAAGCTGAGAAAATGGTTTATCATATTTTTTACCATAAAGATTTCAATTTAGCTCATCAATGTTGTAGTAGACGTTGATTCCTTATATAGCATTTGGAATGGAGTGTTGTTCTCAATTGAGAAATTTTGGAACAATGCAATTGGTATGAAAATTCGGGACTTAGTAAGGGTTCAGTGAAGACATTAGTTGCTCTATAATCAAAGCTGTATGCATCGGTTTTGGATCACACGGTATAAACAAGACTTGGAGTTAAAATTATAATTACAAAGCTGGAAATTTTCGGTTCACAGAATTTGAAATGGGACTAGTTAACCTGAGTTCAGTCCTCCTCTCCCTCTCTCTCCTGCCATGCATGGATTTTTTTATACTAGGTCTGATGTAATGAATAAAGGGAATCTTGGAATCTGATGACTTATAATTTGTCTCTTTTTCTCAGATGTCTTTTCTTTGGTGATGTTTCTTCGAAGACGAATCCTACAACATACTTGAATTCTATATTTTCTTTATATGATTACTATAAGAAGGAATACTGCTTATCTGACCAGAGTGATAGACCTACCAAGACTGGATTGCCTCTTGTTGTGAATACACCTGGCTGGGTGAAAGGTATGCTCTTTTACTTGGTCAATTGCTCCTCTCTTTTAATTGTGATTGAACAAAATCTCCCTATCTGTAGTTTTGTTTGCTTGTTTGTTTGTTCTTCACTTGGTCAATTGCCCCCCTCTGGCTTTTTTTCTGTAGATATTTTATGAACTAAATTTTCGCAGGTTTCATCCTAGCCATGTACCGTTTGAGGCAAAGGCCAAGTGGCTATTTTATGAATCTTCTTTTGATGGTTATCGCTGTTTGGATATGAATATTATATATGATTTCTTCATTCCTCTTGTGTACTAGGTGTTGGTTATGATTTATTGGTGGATATGTTGAAATATATTGCCCCTACCCATGTTGTTAAAATAAACATATCAGCCAAGAGTAAGAATCTACCAAGTGGGGCATTCTGGTTAGATGAGGATCATGATGCTATGCTAAATCTGATAGAGATCAATTCAGCTCGTCAGGACTCTTTCAATAGATCGTAAGTCTTAGCGTTTTCAAGAATATCTGGAGACTTTTATTTTGGATGCAGGTTATTTGTACAGTTTTTTTAATTGCTTTTCCTCCCTTCCAGTACATTTAATTTCGTTATTATTAATTTTTAATTCGAGAATCATTTATATGATGTATAATTCTTCTTTTCTTGATTAAATACTAAGTTGCAATGGTCACATTAGTTTCAGACCAAGTGCCAAATCTCTTTAGTATGCTCCATAAAATATATGTAGGAGGTGATCACTTTTAGTTAAGCTTAGAAGAATTCATCTTTTATACAAGATTATTGAATCAAGTGATCAAGTGTCGGGAATTTACATAAATTATTTTGCTTCATAAGCAGCATATGCTGGTGGAAGAAGACAAGGAGTTATATGGATGTACTGGATTTTCCCGTGACATATTATCTTTGTTGTGTTGCAGGGTTCTAGTACAAAAGGATGCACGTCTGTTGCATGATGTACGAATACTGGCTTATTTCAGGCAGTGCTTTTCAAGTAGCCTAAACATTACTACAATCAAAGAACTTGCTAATGCTCTGGCCTCTCAACCTCCTTATGAAGTTCCAATATCTAGCATCAAGATTAGACATCTCCATTGTCAGGTCGGTTCTTAGTTCTGACTGTTGATCGACTCACTGCAAGTTTCGGAAATTTTAAAATCTGTGTGTCTTTTACATGTACGAGTGAATTTTGCATTCTATTCCTGTTTGCTGTGAGGGTCTGTAGAAAATGTTACGGGAGAGCTTAGTGGTGATTACTTTTATACCTCATAGCTTTTGATTTTGTGTCAACAACCAAGGGACTTTTATTACTATTAATTGCTATTATAATTTCAATTAAGGCTTGTAACAGTTTAGTTCTTTTATACCAGGTCCCAGGTGCTGAGAGCTTCTACAGTTTGAACGCAACCATTGTTGGCTTGGCAGTTAGCTCTGGAGGATCAAAAGATTTACCTTGGTGTGTTGGTCTTGGTAGGTTACTCTGTTTTTCAACATTTTGTCTATTATATATTTTATCTATTTTGTATAGCTTTGCTCGTAATTTTATGTTTTCTGGCTCCAATACGTGTGGAAGTGAGTTTTCAGAAAAATTAAGAAGACTTAGTTCTAGAACTTGGTTCAGGGTGCCAGGAAACTAGGTTCTTTAGTTTTTTATGTTTATGTTATTTAGGGAAATCCAGATTTTCATTGTTGGTGCGATGCAGAAACATATAGATAGGTTGAAGCAATCAATTTGAACTAAGGTTCTTATTCATTTCAATTGATGCCTTTTTAAAAAAATAATAGGAATTGTGAGAGGCATTGACACAGTCAAAGGCTTGCTATATGTGATAACACCTGTTCCAAGAGGCACTCTGGAGAAGGTCAATCTTTTCCTGCAAGGTTATATCCAAATTCCTACTGTGTTGTTGCAGGTAACTGAACCCCTCCCATGTAATACATGTTTCAGACCAATTGTTTGCTTCTTCATAGTCTCTCACATGCATTCAAGTTTGGATTCTTTGCCCTTTTCCAAATACAATATGATCTTAGAGAAGGAATAACAGTTCGGGAAGAAACGTTCTTGTTGCATGGATAGTCAAATCAGTCAGTTAACCACTATTACAGGGGTTGCTAGGTGTAGTGCATGTGCATGTGTGTGGTTTCGTTTTCAGAAACTGGAGATCTTCGATTGTGATTGAAATTTTCTCTAGTACTCTAGTAGCACCATGTTAGGGAAGTTTTATACAACAGCTAGGAGAATGTTATGGGCATGTCTACAGTAGTATACACATAATCACTCACATACACTGAACAAAATATCAGAATCTTGTCGTTCGCAGACTACTACTTTATTGGAAATCTATTGGAAGAACTTGATTCGCCACATTAAGGCTCGTTTGGAAGTGCTTTAATTCCCTTCTAACTTCCTTCAGTAAATGAAAAGAAGAACCTGCATATCGGATCACCTAACATATATTTCTATCTCATCCAATATTACCAAGTGTTATTTCTTACTGAATCTATTGAATTTCAGGTGCAGGGCTGCATATCGCCTTACATGTCTGCAAATGTTCTCTCAACAAGCTAAGCTCGTTCACAGTTGCTTGGGTTTCAAACAACATCCTTTACAGTCATTAAGCTAAGTTTTATCCCACCATGCGAGAGACTGACAACCAATAGGTCAGCTTGCATATGGAATTCCAAATAGACGATATTTTTTTATCGCATGGATTTGATAGTAAAGGAAATGTGAAATGGTTATCTATGAA